ACCCACGAAAGCTTATACTCCCAGTACTTCTGTTAGTCTCAAAGGTGCCACAGGACCCTCTGTTGCTTTTTAATGATCAGTAAGTAATTAGTTTTCCAGTGATATGTTACATGCCACCTTTTCGGAATATAACATGACAACAGTGTGCCAGCTGGCTTTGGGATGATCTTAGGGTCACACTCGTCCAAGCCCTGCCTCCCCATGTACACTGCTATTTTTAGCACTATAGAGTTCCACTCCTGGAGCCCTCCCTCTGCCGCAGGGAAAGACTCCCAGAGAAGGGGATGGGCCAGGCAGGAAATCCGATTTGAAAAGACTAATTTAATGGACACTCTGTTCTGACTGGAGAAAAGCAGGAGGAATTCCCTTTCCAGTGTTTTCCAGGTCAGATGTTAGGGGAGACTGGAATTTTGGATGGAGAAAGTATACTACAAGAAAGCAACACTTGTCCCTCACAACAGCAAGCACTTTTTCACACAAATCCACTGTTACCAGTCATGATGGCCAAGATTTTTAAAAGCAAAAAGTGATTTTAGGTGCCTCAATTTGTGGGTGCCCAACTAGAGATCGCTTACAGGCATCGGATTTTCAGAGGGTGGGTGCTCAGTGCTTTCTGAAAATCAAGCCCCTTTAAGCAATCACAAGCCAAGCACCGTAAAGTTGAGGCACTCAGAATCACTGATCACATCTCAAAATCTTGGTCAAATTGCATTCACTGTTTTATTAGAGTGTAATCAAGATGGCAGTGAAAACCTTATGCAAGTACAAACTTTATCAGTTCTGGATTTTGTGACACAATGAAACATTCTTTCTTTCTAAAATATCTTTTTGAAAACATGCACACTGTAGAGATAATAAAGGTACAATAGTTTTGTGGCATTTTTAGTTTGTTAATATGGTGTGGCAGAAATTGAAAAATATTTTATTTTCAAGTGGCCATTAAATCTGTGTGTGATTTCTCAGTGACTGCAGTGCAAGCTATGGTGGAGGGCAGAAGGGAGCAACTCTACTTATGGGATGCTCATGTCTATGCCAGATGCTGTCTATTTCAGACATCTGTAATGTCAGTTTAATGGGCACAGTCCAATAAAATTCAGCTTGAATTTCTCTTTTACGCTAACGTTATAAGCTTTTAACAGCTGTCCTAAGCAGAACATTTTACCTTAACAGATATGCTAGACACACTAACATGAGCCATAAAATGGTGATGCCACTTCCTACAGCAGTTCTAAAATAAGAACTGAGGTCCAAAAAATAGAAAACAAGAGAAGATACAGTGGTCTGTCTGTCTGGTATCAAAAATAGCCGTGTTTAGGTATATTGTACTGTAACTACCAGTAAACTACCAGTACCATCCCACTCTGAAACTAAAGAGCCAAAACATATTAAGTAAAAAAAAAAATGTAAGGATGAATGCATAAATTATTCAAAACATTTTGTCCTCCAATACTACTTTGGGTACATTTTTTAAAAGATCTAGTGGTGAAAAATCTGTCCCTATTGAAGTCAGTTGCAAACTCCGACTTCAAGAGGGCCAAGATTTTACCTAGGACTTCTAAGTATCCTAACAATCGGATACGATTCAGTTAAGAGAAAATGAAACATTTTAAATTTCTTCTCCTTTTTCTCCCTGCGTTTGGTTTAGATTTTGACAGTTTGCCTCCTGCACACTATAAGGAGACCATGAACACTATCCTTTTGTGGATCCAGCAGTCAGAGACCAAACTCTCCATACCTCAGGTTATTGTCACTGAATATGAGATCATGGAGCAGAGACTCAGGGAGCTAAAGGTAAGTGTACAGACTGTGAAAAAAGCCTTCTGATTGAAAAACACAAGCGGATGGAACTTCTGTTCGTCTAAATCATCGTAATTCCATTGAAGTCAATGGAGCTATGACTATTTACAGCAGCTGAGGATTTAGCCCAAAGGCTATGGGTCGGGGGGGCTACTTACTGATATTGAAAAGGCTTCTGAGTGTTATTGAAAAAAGCACCAAGGTTGGTATTTGCGAGTTGAAACAAATACTTAAGGTACTAAACAACTTAGGGGAATAGCTTTTGCATCTCCCCACGAGAAACAAAATGTTCTCAGAGATATTTACAGCACTTAGGCATTCAGCTCGTAATGAATGTTTTCATGTATGCATTAGAAACTAGTGTTATGAAAAATACAGAACATTTACTTCTTTCCATCCCAATCTGCAACTCCTGTCAAATTTCCAAGCAGAGACAGATGTGGGATGAGCTTTGCCAGTGGGCATAAAGCTTCTCTGCATGTGGACTTTTAGTATTGTTTTATTATCTGATGGCTAAAGAGCATTTTGCTGGATCCAATGCCAATGAAAATAGAGAAATGCAAAGCAGAAAATATCTAGTCTCCATGCTGATCAATATACTGATCAATCCTTGAAGGTAAGTGTATGGTAATCATTGGGGCCATAATAAATTATTTAATGGATTATACAATGTCTCAATGAATTTAATTATCCATGTATTTATACCATTAAAATTAGCAACTGAATGTGTTTCTAATCAGCTGTTTTCTGAATAAGATTAAACTGTTACTTCGGTCATGGTGAAGTGTGTAATTCTTTTCTTTGAAATTATTACAAGAATTGTTCAGCCATTTGCTCAATAATATTTTACTGCTTCTGGGGGAGAAAGTGTTCAAAATAGCTCAGTATGTTCCAAGTGAATTAATATAATGTTAATTTTTCATGTCACAGGCTTTGCAAAGCTCTCTACATGAGCAACAAAATGGCCTAAACTATCTTAGCACAACTGTGGAAGAAATGTCCAGGAAAGCCCCTGCAGAGCTCAGCCAGAAATATCGATCTGAAATTGAGGGGATCCTTAGCCGCTGGAAGAAGTTATCAGCTCAGCTGGTAGACCGTTGCCAAAAACATGAGGACCTGATGACTAAGCTCCAGCAGTTTCAGGTTATTAGGGGTTATCCCTCTTTCTCACACACATACACACCCATCCATCTTCTGGTGTCCAGTGACATAACAATGTTTATATATGTGTGCATTTTTATATATTTCTGCAAAAGTTATTTCTTGAAGTAAAACAAGATAAAAGGGAGGAGTCTCAAGTCAATCCATGTGTGAGATTCTTGTATTGCAATGGGTATTTGAATCAGAATAAAGGCACTTTAAAAATTCTAAACCTTTGGCAGGTACTAAGGTGTTGATTGACTGATGCAATGATGATCCATTTGATAGATTGTTATAAGAGTGAAATCCTCACCCCACTAAAATCAATGGAAGCTTTGGTATTGACTTCAATGAGTCCAGGATTTCACCCAGAATTCTTACCGTTTGCCTGTTTTCGCTTGTGTTGAAAACAATGACAAAACTCCTATTGATTTCAGTGAGAATAAAGTCAGGCCCCCATCACTGTAATCCTTCTAACACTTTCCATGCAACTCTAACCATCTTGATTTCAATGGATTACTTTTGTTGTCATTATCACTGTTACTTCTATTGTGGTAGAAACTACGAGAGGTCACTAATCAAAGATCAGGATCCCATTGTACTACACACATAGGTAAAATTATTTATATACAAATGTGCAGGAGTAGAGCCCTAGATTGTTTTCTTCATGGCAGAGATCTTATGTAGACACTAGTTGACAAGTCATGTTGGTGCTCACCAAATGAACAACAAGATTGGGGGAAACCTGGACAAACAAATATTGTAACATGTCATTCATGTCTCAATTTTTAATATATTTCGGTTCCATTTGTATATAATCCTAAAGCACAATTTTCAAATTGATTCTGATTAACCAGGCACCAAAATTCTGAAAGTATTCTGCAGAAAGTATCTTTACAGTTTTATTCTATCCTCCTTCCATGTAAACGATCACTTAAGTACTCATAAAGGACAAGGGAATGAAAGTAACCCTGAAGCCTTTTTCAAGGTTGACCAGCACAATGTGAGTTGTTACATACAGTGCTCCATTTACAATATATGAATATTTCAGTCCCTGTCCTTGGTTTGTTTCAAGTAGAATTTGATTGTTGCTTTTGTGTTATGGATTATAGCAAAATAGGATTTTTTGAGTGAGTTGAGACCACAGTTTCCTATTTAATCCAATACGATCCAATCATATGATCAAGAATAAATGTTCCATTAGCAGGGTCATGGTTGGTCTTGTATCCCTGTTTCTGCAAAGAAAAACCCAGTAGCAAAATAACAAAACATTCATTCATCTGATTCTCTTTGACCATACGGGAGTTTTGACCACAAAAAAAATTATCATCATTAGGTAATGAACAATTTAAGAACTAGTCTTCTCCAGAAGACCCCAACAATCCTAAATTTGGTTTAATTGGTAGCACTTGGATTCTGAAAATAATGAATTTGGCTGTCATAGCAAGACTTGGGTTTGTGTTCATTGCTAATATAATGAAATATTGGGAAGTACGCTGTTTCAGGTACTATCCTTTCCTTAATAAATTTAAATTGGCTTTTTATTCACAACTGCTGGGTTTCTGGGTAGAAGTTTAGGAAGATACCATTGCCATTTTCAAAAAGACAAACCTCGATTTCTTAAATAGCACTTCATCTCTCAGTAAAACACTTAGTTTTTGGCAATATAATGTGCATGATTTCTGAGCGTGGATCACTGCACAACAAGTGTACAATTCATATAAAATTCATTGCTTGTATATCCCTCTAGTATACTTTGAGTGTTTAGTTAGCTTTGATAACGTCTTAGCTATTGCTTCCTAATAGAGTGTATCTTAGAGGTATATGTTCAAATCACTACTGATAGCAGATAAAGCATATATTCATTTCAGAATGTGATCCATTTATTTGATCTTCACTGTTTTTGAAAAGTAATCACTGTATCCTGGGTTAACAAAAGGAAATCTTCAAATTGGTCCTTTTCTCTTTAATGAAAAATGTTTAATACATGCATGTTAAAATACTAAAATCTCATAATAAAATATGATTCTGGATTACTTTTACTCCTTAACAACAAAAGTACAGAAGAAATCACTTCATTCACTCTTTTGGTAATTTTGGTATTCATCACTTTTGTATCATTAATTTTTATCGATTCAATTGATTTTGCAAAGTAGCCTGGTGCTATAAAAATGACCAGCTGGTGCATTTTCTTTATGGGTTACCTGATATGTATATTTGAGCAAATTTGGAGCACAATATTATTTAAATGAGAACTGACTGCTTTAAAAATATAATCATTGAATTATTATATTGTGTATAATGCTGAATGTGCATTTTACAGATGTAGGTAAAGCAATACTTTGAAGAAAAAAGTGATACTATTTGAGTGTTAATTTAGCAGCTCACCATTTGTATAACTTGATGATGCTCCTCCTTAGCTGACACATTATCCCTTTAATAAAGGCTAACATAAGCTTCTCACTGACTCCCAAAGGCTAAGCATTAGGTTTTAGAATTAGCGTTCAAATGTGGTTGGATCAGGGGATAGGGAATCAGGATTCCTGGACTCTGTTCCTAGCTCTGGTACTGGTTGATTATGTGACATTCAGAAACCCACTTAGAGTATGTCTACACTGAAGCTAGGAGTGTGCCTCCCTTTGCAAGTAGTCAGACACATGCTAACTCTGCTTGAGCTAGAAAGCTAAAAATATTAATGTAACCAGGGGTAGCATAGATGGTGGGTTGAGCTAGCCACCTAAGTATGTACCTAGGGGGTCTGGGCCAGTTTGTACTCAGGTGGCTAGCCCAAACTGCAACCTATGCTAGCCCGGGCTACACTACTATTTTTAGTGTGCTAGCTTGAGCAGAGCTAGTGCATGCCTGTCTACTCATTCAGCGAAGCGTGCTTCCAGCTGCAGTGTAGACCTGCTCTGTATCGATCTCTGCTGCAGTTAACCTTAGAGTAAACATAGTACTACTTCCTTATTTTGTAAGGGGCAGTTTTTCTACATGGTGGCCTCTTAGTTAGTGAAATAAGATGGTAGTTTCGTATGCTTTTTTAATAATTGTGTAAAAGGAAACTTAAAGTGATGGTGAGCCGCAATTAAAGGACAATTTTAAATAGTTGGAGATATATATATATATATCACCTTAGAAGTGGTGATATATAAGTGAAAGGTGGTATTCTCATTCTTCTTCTTGCTGTTTTCAAAAGAGGAGGGAAAGGGTTTTTGTATTCTTACCATTAACAAATCAGAGAAACAAAATCCAAACTGTTTATTCCTGAAAACAAGAAATGCTGAGACTAAAATGATCAAAATGCAGGCCAAATGGGGAAAGGCAATTCCCCCCAAAAATGTATTTGCTTGTTTGCATTGCTCAAAGTGCTGTGACCTCTTCCTAATTTTAGAATTATATTGTGATGAAGTTTAGTGATAGTGCCATAGTGATAGTGCCATGATGAATTCTATTATCACCAGTCAGTGCTTGTAGCATACAATAAAATGTTGTTTTTAACAAACAGAATGACACTAAAACCCTGAAGAAATGGATGGCTGAAGTGGATGCTTTTCTGAAGGAAGAGTGGCCTGCCCTTGGTGACTCAGAAGCGCTGGAAAAACAGCTTGAACAATGTACAGTAAGTAGTCCTTGTGTACTGGATTCTTTGTGTGTATTTGGCTGGGTGAGTGCTTAGAAGAAGAATCAACCCAAACTTTCGCCTAACTAGAAATAAATTTAAAACTGAATCTCTTGGTTTTGAAGAAAATACTGAAAAAAACAGGAAGTTGAACATACAAAGGTAGTAACACAGATGCTGTAATACTGTATCCTTGTGGTATGTCCAGACTGGACAAAATAAGAAAGTTTGAAACATTGTGAGCTCCTTGGAGCAGGGGTCTCCCTTCTTAAGTATTTGAAAAAGTACCCGGCACTTGAATGAGTTCTACTGCAAATAATAATCATAATATGGTGAGCGCACACTGCCCCCAAGATATCATCTTTTTTTTCTTGTTGCCATTTTGTGGTAGTTTCTCATTTCAGGGAAGCAGGAGGCACAAAGTTGAGAGCCAGATTTGTATCTCTTAGACTGGTATTAATTCAATTCAATTCCACTGGAGTCTATGGGCCTAAATTTGTAGCAAGTGTATAAAAATAACTCCTTCAGAAGTCAAACACTTCATTAAAAAGCTGAAATTCTCATTGTTGTCCAAACTTTTCTTCTCCTCACCATCTCCATCATGTGAGAAGCTTTGCTGTCCTTCGTGGCATTCTTAGTGATCTTTGATTAAATGTTCAGACTCAGACCAAATCTTGTCACTTCTCAGTTTATAACAGTTCTGCAATCTGTTCCTTCCTCTTCCATTTCTATTCTTCACTCCCACTTCCAAAGCCTTTGTTCATACCATGATCCCTTCTCAAGTCTCCCTTCTTTAAGCATCCAATATTCAGCAGCTGAAATTACCTTTTTCCTCTTCTGTTATGACGGTGTCACCCCCCTTTGATGTCTCTTTTTTGGCTTTTTGTCTCTTTCTGCATAAAGTTCAATCTGCTCATTCTGGCATTTAAGTTTCTGCCTGAGTCTCCTGTCATGCTCAACTCACTACCTTTGCTCTAACCTTTTCCCTCCCTTTCCTTCCTTCTACTTTTGCCTTCATGCCTGTTTTCACATTGCTCCCTTCACTTGGCTCACTGCCCTTCTTAAAAGGATGAAACATCCTTGTTTTCTTTCTTCAAATGCCTCTTCAAAACCTATTTCCTCTCCCTTGTTGCCACTAGGGACTTTCTTTCCTATGCAGTCTATTCCTCACTTATCTTACCAGAGCCTGTAATTAAAAATGATCAGAATGTATATGATTTGATTCCTGTACATGACTCAGTTTTTGTTTGTTTTAAACATAATCCCCTCTTTCACTTTACTTTTGTTGTACTTGTGCTTTGTTCAATTTAGATTGTACAGTTTTGGGGAGCAGGCTCTGATACCAGACACCTCTGTGTTCTTGGGGAACCAGGGTGCAGTATCCAGCCTGACTCATGAAAGACGCCCCCTCCCCCACTCCCCCGCCAGCCTCTGCTTAAACCAAAACCCATCAGAGGAAGAAAACTTGCAGAAAGCAGTGAAGGGCGTTGGGAGACACACCTAGACCCCTCCTGACAAGGGTGACAAGATTAAGACTTCTCCATTAGCATACAGAATGGAGAGCAGAGACAACTCCCCTAGCCTCGTCTGCATGAAAGATGGGACAGGAAGACATCTCAATTTACATACAGAATGGAGAACAGAGAATTCTGGGACCAGAAAAAGCAGGGAAGCACTGCATCATGGGAATCTTTGCTCCAGATGCTAATGAACCTGTGTCTGCACACACCCAGCTCAGCAATTATCAGACCAATTCTAGTAATGAATCCTTAATTGATATCCAAATTCTGAAGCAGCCTAGTTGCATTGTGAGCTCCCTGGAAGAAAACACCCCCCCATAGCCAAGAGTGATCAGCTCCTATTGTCTAAAGAAAACCCTTGAGTCATCAGTTTACCTATAAACAAATCTAGTGTTCTCCCTTGAACCATTGTATTTTCTCTACAAAAATCCCTACTCACCCTCTAGTCAGGGTTCTGATGCTTAGATCCAAACTATGCATCTGTTCCACTGGAACTCCATCTTCTTCTGACTGATCATGCTGGGGGCTCTGCCTGTCTCCAGCATTCAGGACCCTCCGCTACCACCATCACCTGGGAACCCCGACCAGTTCAAGCCTCATGGAGTGGGTGAGAATCCCCCCCCCCCCTTCTCTCTGTTTTCCTTTCTATCTTTGGTATTAACCTTTAATAATGTATGTTATGTTGGTTTAGCTCTCCTTGTGTAGTTATCATTAGTATTCAATAAATAACTTTTATGGTTAAGTTGGTTGCTTCTCTCTCTCTTACTGAACTTTACTCTTTTGTGTTTTTAGCTTCCCCCATTCACTCTACAGCAATGCTTCTTTTACTTAAGCTAAAGATCCCTGCAGCGCCCAAAATACTGTGGGATTTGCTCATCAAGTAGGTTACTGAGTCCAGAGACATATAAGGGGTCAACTTGACAGTGCTGATTGACCCGGTCTGCTCAGACTTGCTCTGTTAACGTATGTGTGGGTGTGGGTGTGTTCATCCGGTTCTGGGGTGGGAGTAACCCAGCCCTAGGGACCCTAGGTCCTGCAGGATAGCTCCATTGGGAGGGGACTTGCAGAAGGGAGAAGTAGAGCTCCATATGAAAACACAAGTGACACAAGCAGTACATTGACAGGATTACAGAACCCCCTTCCCCAGAGGAGTAACCCGAATAAATGAGCATACCCCAAAGTAATGGGCACATCTGGTAACAGCTGTGTATTGAGGCCTGCTCTGCTTCATGCAGAAACAGATAGGGATGGAAAAAGTAACTTTATGCCACCTTATGGTATGCCACTACAAATCCTAGCAGGTGACAATACAAAACTTCCATTGACTTCAGTGAAATCTGAATTAGAGCTGGTTAGAGGCTGAGCTAGTCTCTTGTGCAAATTTCAACAGCCTTGGGCTGATCTAATTTGCATCCAAATGAATATACCCCCATGGGCAGATCCAGCAGCTGGGAATTGCCAGAGCAAAGCATCACACAAGCCTCCCCACAAGGATGTAAGATGGGTAGCATACAGGGAGATAATTCCTGTGATAGTCAAGGAAGATGGCTTTACAAACCATTTGTAGCACCAGAGTGGTGCAAAGGGGCCAAATCATACTGAAGAATTGAGCCCCATGCCTCTTAAATATTATGCCATATTATAATTCTGTATAAATGTTATTAATTCTCTTTTTTATCTTGCATAGAAAAGCTAATCATTTAAACTCATTTTAAGACTGTTCATCCTTCTACTCTGTATTTTGCATAATATTGTCTGTTAATTGTGGTCATTTCAACAGAGATCTGGACCAAATACACACATAGTAGCAGAATATTTTATGCTCTTACTTTATTGGACAGTTTTATAGAAATGGCATATCTGTAACAGCATCTGCATGTGTTATTTTCATAAACCTTCTACTATTCCTTTAGGCCTTAGTAAATGATATCCAGACAATCCAGCCCAGTTTGAACAGTATTAATGAGGTTGGGAAGAAAATGAAGAATGAAGCAGAGCCAGAATTTGCTTCCAGAATACAGACAGAACTAAAAGAACTCAATGCGCAATGGGAACACATTTGCCAACAGGTACTGAGTCTCTTGCTGTGACTGGTTCTCTTTTAATTAACTTTCAGATTTCTCATTGGCATAATTCCTCCCCCTCTGTGCATAGCCAGTCAATGTGAGAAAGAATCTAGACATTTTTGGTTCAAACTAATTAACCTTCCATTATACAAAGTTTATCTAGCATGTAGAAATATGTGCAAAGTAGATATCTTAAACTATGCAGTTTAGTCTAGCTGTACATTTTATTGCTGATGTAAAATTAGCTCTTTACAATATAGACTTTTTTGCAAAAAGATTTCCATCTGTCGACATATAAACTTCTGCACTGAGTAAGTTTTTATTAAAACCGTTCTTTTGCTTCTGATATTTTATTATACTGACTACTAATTCTCAAGATCAAGTCCTTCTAGTTTTCAGAATTCAGTAACTTAGAATTATAACTGATATCTACCCGTCCATTTAAATTAGTGTGTCACAAGGGCCCACAAATGTAAAGGACAGGTGGTATGCAATATTGACCTGAAAGGATAAGTGTTTTATTTTGACTATGTTCATGGTGAACCAGTGGTATTTACCCATAAAGAAAACACATCAAACAGCTAGCAGTCATCAGTGTAAAGTTACCACTTTGTATAATATGACTGCTAATGGCATTACAAAGTATAGATAATCCTTTACAGAGTATAGTATTGTATAATAGGTATTCTACTAATTTTTCACTTGTTTTAGCTTTAGTCCAGTTAAATCTGGGTTATTTTAAGCTATTTTTGTTTGTGTACACTTAAAACAAGTCCCCATGTTTACATATTGAAACTGTTGATGACCTCAAGAGGGTATGAAGTTTTCTAACCTTTCTTAAAACACAGAAATACAATGATTGTTTTGTACTTTTTTGTTAATATTAAAATTGGCAATTTTTAAAAAGAGATCTCTATATTTAGTTCATTATAAATCATTCTATTTGGATAGACCAATCAGGATCCATTCCCGCAAATTGAATAAAGCACTCTCTCTTTGCTCTGGATTGTCTTATATAAAGAAAACTGAAGAAAAATATTAAAGATCCATTCTTCTTTAAAGAATTTTAATGAATCCACTTCAGCATCTCTTGGCAGATCATTGCTTTCTTCTTACTTAAAGTGGCAGAACTGTTCAGCTTTACAGATCCCACGCCCTGATAACATATCTCTCTCACTCTCAAGCTGCTTTTATATTAAAAAAAAAGAATTTGAAAAATAATGCGACTATAGTGAGCAACCAGCCCACGATTGTTTTTCAGTGTTATGCATTCTGAATGGTGACTGAAAACTCTACAGATTTCCATACATACACTTTTAATGGTAGTTAAAATTAACACAAACCAAAGTACCTCAGGTTTTAAAATTAGATTCTGGCCCAGTATTGCCACTTGTCATACGTTACTTACCCATGCTGCTGAGAGTGAACCATACAATGCCTTTTCATCACCTCTGTCACTGGACACTTCTTGCCTTTTATGCTGAGAACAAACAAACAAACACAAAATTTCTGGTGAATTTGATGTCTTTGACATAAAAAGCAAACCTTCAACTTGAGGAACTGAGTGTCCATGTTCTACTTACTCTTAGCCATATTTAAACAAGAAAGTAAGGAATGTTACACAACAGATTTAAACTTGAGGTATATTTCACTAAACACTCTGTTGACAAACCGTACTACCATTATCCTCTATAGAGCCAACAGTTTAAAGGTTTCCATTGCATGGATAAATATCTGAGGCAGATTAACAAAATAATACGTTGCCTTGTCTGTTTAGAGATTTTTCAGCAGAAAATCTTAAAATGCTTTACAAAAAGTGGGAAAATATGTTTATCCCCATTTTATAGAGGGAGAAATTGAGGCATGGATTGTGTAAGTGACTTTGCTGTTGCAGAATGGTTTAATTACATCTGTCGGGTTAACAAGTTTGTGAAAATTACTGCTGTTGTAGTATGCTTCTTGGAAATCTGGAAAGCACTTTCTTGGCCCAGTTCCACAATCCTTTCTCAAAGAGGTCCCTTTCACTAACCTGCCTTGGAGCGTTTAGTTGTTTATTTTTATTGTGCAGTATTGATGTATAGAGAACTTGTTTTAAAGATCTGCTTTCTTTAATATCTCATGTACTGCTTGGTTACAGAAATTCTAGTTAAAATTCTGCAGGGGGAAAACGCCTCTAAGTTCTTGATGATAAAACTTGTGGGTGATTTGGGTTTTTTATTTTATTTTTTTATGCCTTGCATGATATTCTTGATGTAGTATTTCTATCTAATATGCTGATGATGATCAAAGTATACATTGCCAGTGGGCATTCTTAACATAGTAACTTCAATGCTAGCTATTAAATACATATAAGAAGTGCATATAAAAAGCATTTCAAACTGCAGGCATTTTTTAAAAAATGTGAGGAAAATCTGCTAAGATTACTACATATGCATGCAGTGTGACCTACACCTTTGCAGATAAGGGAGAATTGCCAGAGGGCAATCATGTACTCTTTTATAAATCTTATTTGGCCACTTGAAATGTTATCTGTTATGGGGCTGCTGCTAAACAAGATGCAACTTTGTGCGCCTTGTGACTCAAAATAGGTACTTGTTAGGCTTCAACTTTTAAAAAAAAATCAATATTTATTTGATTAATTGTTAGCATCTGTAGTTTTTGCTTTTTACAATGATGATGAGCTTTATTTTTGTGCAGTAGAAGCTTATATCAAATACCATTTCATGCTTCTTTCTTAAAGGCCTATGCTAAGAAGGCAGCACTAAAAGGTGGTTTGGATAAGACTGTTAGTCTTCGAAAGGATTTGTCAGAGATGCATGAATGGATAACACAAGCTGAAGAAGAATACCTGGAGAGGGATTTTGAGTATAAAACACCAGATGAATTACAGAAAGCGGTTGAGGAACTGAAGGTAAAAGGCAGACTGACTGGTTTAATTTATGTCTGAAACTCTTCTTTGAAGCCATCGCTGCACACAATCTGTTTGCTCATTTAAAAGAGTTGCTTTTTATATCTAGTTGGAAAATCTGAAATTTGAAGTGATAGGTGGCTTAAAGTAATTTGTTTCAATTTAGAGTCTGTTGAAAGATATTTAAATCTTCACAGTACTCTGTTGCTACAGGGTTTGGGGATTTTTTTTTCCCCCATTGCTTTATTGGATTTTGGATTCTTTGCAATCTGAGCATTAATTTAATTAAGCAATAATTTCCAAAGAATCAGTTGTTAGCAGTAGTTAACCACTAGATAATTACTTGATAAATCAGGGTAAAATCGGTTTGATTGTTTAACTATTACATTAAGCAGAGAGAGACTATAATTTAGGACTTGAATTCAGGTGTTGTGCATTTATGATTTATTTATGATTTATTAGTGTATACTCTAGATCAACTGCAAGACATGGGCTTGATGCAGGAATTTATGGTGTGGGTTATGCAGGAGATGATTGTAATAGTCACTCTGGCCTTAAAAAAAAATCTCTTTGTTAGGCAGAGGGTTTTATGGAAGTTTGGAAGCATGTACCCCTGCAGCTGAAGAGTTTTTCTTTATCAGCTGATAGAAAAGAAATCATGTAAATTCCTAAAGAAATCAAAATGGGACAACAGTGATTTGCCATGAATGAAATGTAACCCCATATTAAGAGTCAGCATATGCTATTGGGATATAATTAATATGCGGAAATATCTATATCACAATAGCTCATGGCCCTTTTACATTACACTATCCATTGAAACAGGCATAGTAAGACAAATTATGTAAATTTCCCAGTGAAATGCAGAGAGAATTTTTGGCCTAGCACAATACTTCATAAATATAAGAGAATAAAATCCCATTACTGAAGTCTGCACATACAAAACATGCAATTTTTGACGAGATATAAACAGACTTAAATAATTGCCCTTCCCTCCCTTACTTTGATCATATCTTGAATACAAATTCTAACTAACAAGACATATATTAAAACCTCCACTACCATTCTTGTCTGATACTTGTACTTACCCGGACAGTACTTTTACATTACTGGGCAAAAAGATAATTCTCAGCCTAACATGGCTCAAAGGAGAGGCAGGTAGGAAGGAAGGGCATATTCCCATCTGCCATATCCATTGGCACATGGAGAGGGCCCAGAGATTTGGGGAAAGCATTCAAAACCTCCTGAAAGGATGTTGTAGCAGATACATTCCTCCTTTTGTGCTGAGAAGCTCCAGGAGGAATTCCTCTTGAACCTCCCACTGGGGTGGTGCAGAGCTACACTACTCCAACGGGGTACAACTGAGCCCATAGGTCCCAGTCCTGAAAAGAATTATGCAGGTGTTTAACTTTAAACATGTGAGTAGTTTCAAGACTCCACTGGGAGTTATGTGCTTACCATTAAGCACATGTCTAAGTCTTTGCAGGATCAGTGCCTCAATCTGTAAACATTTTGGGGCAGGGAACTGTTGTCTTGCATATCTGTAAAGGACCCGGCACATTAATGATATAATATATATAAACATTACCTTATTATTTTTAGCAATGGCACAGTAATGTCTAAAAGTACCAGTCACAATCAGGACCCCATCTGCTGGGTGTTTCACAAGCCCCTAAGGAGAGACACCTTACCTGCACTGAGGATCTTGAATTTAATTAAAGTAACTCCTAACTAATGAGAGTAACAAACAGTAGGAGGGAAAGAGAGCACAGATGAGGGTGACAGTAATTAGTTGTGATTACATAGGCTAACAATGAGGGCTTGGTGGTTAAATATGGTTTAATTATTTTTAAAATTCCCTATTAAACTGTGGTCCTCTGTGATTGCCTAACATTTGCATTTCTTTCACCTTTCTAACTGGAATCGCTGCTCACTTCTTACTGCATCTTCTTCCAAGACCAAGCCATGTTCACACCTCAAGCCTTCCATGCTCCACTGTTACCCCAGACAGTGCTATTGCATGAGGGAGGGATTCTCTCCCTAAATCCTCAGCTCATTCTGGAGATGAGTGGGATGATCCAAAGAATGCTCACGCTGAAGCTCAAATTTGAAATACAGCTGTGACTGGGGTCCTAGACAGAGATTTGATTTTTTTTTTAATCCCAATTGACTGTGCACTGTTAAAGATGGTTGATTTAATTTATTTGGAAGTAACACAAAAGATGTTTTAATCTGTAATGTGAAGTATTGCAGCATTGATGCCTGAAGCATTTTCTCAGCAAGTATATTATTGAAATTTTGTTTTGTTTTGTTTTCTTACTACTCCAAAAGATTCAGTAGTTCTATATTGTGTAACACATTTCTTTGTTATTCATGATAAACGTGTACGTTGCCTCCAAAATGAAAACAAGATGAATACATTTTCATTGCACTATCAAAGATGATATCAGCGTGGTTGGGCATTACTTCCTTGATTCTTCTTTCTTTCAACCTAAGTAGAATCTTGATGCAATTATTTGAACTCTGCTTTCTTCTCCACAAGTCAGGACCAAAGTCATGACCATCATTTACTTCTATTTTACAGAGAGCAAAAGAGGAGGCCACACAGAAAGAGGTGAAGGTGAAGCTACTCACAGACTCTGTGAATAATTTTATAGCAAGAGCTCCACCTGCAGCTCACGAAGCCTTAGAAAAGGAACTTGACATATTAATTACAAACTACCAGCGGCTCTGCAGCAGGCTAAATGGAAAGTGCAAAACTCTGGAGGTCAGCTATTTTGTTGGTCTTTAATATTACAACTACTCAAACTGCAAAAATAAGATAGACACTAGCAGATGGATTAGCAGATAATAAACTCTTATCTTTGTCCTCTTTACTACTGTCATGCTAAATAAACTGTGCTCATATTAAGTTGATGTAAATGTAGTTCACAACCACAGAATCCAAATAGTTATCCTGATGGAGCACAGTTATATATTCAGCAACATCTGGCTAAACATGTGGAGAAGCAGCTATGATTTTTTTAAACTTTTGATTTTCTATCTAAATGGACATTTTTTTCACCAGGAGGTATGGTCATGTTGGCGTGAGTTATTGTCCTACTTGGATGCAGAAGATAAATGGTTGAATGAGATGGAGCTGAAACTCAGGGCAACTGAAAATATCCAAGGAGGTGCAGAAGAGATCTCAGAGGCACTAGACGTAAGTGCTGACTTAACGGATATATAATATCAAGACACATAGTGAGTTATACCAACACCATTTTGGAAAACCTTCCGTTACAGATGAAAGAAACCATGAATCTGCATAACTATTTGGGAAGATACAGACCATTTGAAAATCACAAAGTACTACTTGATTCAACAAGTCATAATTTGATTTTAATGTGTGTGCATGTTTTAGGCTAACTACCATGTAAATGGAATAGAGTAATCCCTTGTGAAAATACCGATTTCTCATGTATGTTGATGATAATAAAACATATACTCTTAGAAATCCTGGCCCCACTGAAGTCAATGGCAAAACCATCAATGATTTTAGTGGGCTCCGAATTTTATCCTTAGGGCCTGGTCCTTTCAGTCTTTATTCATTATTTATGAAGGCAATGGGCTATCTAAGAATTATGTTTCGGTTTGTCTACACGAGGATAAAAGCGCCACCGCCTGGCCATGGCTGGCTCGGGTCAGTTAACTTGAGCTCATGGGGTTTGGGTTGTGGGGTTAAAATGTGCTGTGTAAACATTTGGGCTCAGGCTGGAGCCCTAGCTTTGGGACCCTCCACCCTCACAGGATCTACATAACAATCTTTCAGCCCCGGAGCCGAAGCCCCACAACCTCAAGTCAGCTGATCTAGGCCAACTGCAGGTTTTGTATCCCCGTGTAGACATACTCTTCTTCTTCTCAGTGCATCAGAGTGCAGAATACAATTAATTAATTGAATGGTAACTTTGCACTTGGGCCCGAATCCAGTTAGGCTACGTCTACACTACGGGGGGGGCGGAGAGAGGGGAATTGATTTCATATATGCAAATTCAGCTACAGGAATAGCATAGCTGAATTCGACGTATCTGATCCGACTTACCCCACTGTGAGGACGGCGGCAAATCAACTGCCATGGCTCCCCTGTCGACGGTGCTTACTTCTACCTGGGCTGGTGGAGTACGCGCATCGATTCGGGGATCGATTATCGCGTCCCGACGAGACGCGATAAATCGATCCCCGAGAGATCGATTTTCTCCCGCTGATCCGGGTGGGTAGTGAAGACCAGCCCTTAGAATACTTAAGCAAATGCTTAATTTTAAACACAAATCACATTTGATGGGATTAATGCAAGGAGGATGTGATAATTTTATTTATATAATTTTGATTTTCTATTTCAATAGACATTTCTTCACCAAGAGATATGGGCACGTTGGCATGAGCTATTGTCCTACATGGATGCAGAAAATAAGTCAATGGGATTATTCATGTTTAAATTTAAGCACATGGTTAAGTGCTTTGCTAGAGGCCTTAGTTGCTAAAGCATTATTTTAGTAATGCATAGTATGCAGTACTTTGTGGCATAAATATGAAATTGTTTGATACTTTGATCTGATGTCTGCACTTCAATTGTGTCTGAAATGGAGGGTTTCTTTCTTACACATTAATGAGAGATGAGTGCTCTTCAGACTTTTCTGCTGGTCTGAGAAAAAGGAGAACAAATCGTGAGTTTTATGGTTTTTTTTCTTTTCAGTCTTTGGAAAGCTTAATGCGACATCCAGAAGATAACCGCAATCAGATTCGGGAGCTGGCGCAGACTTTAACTGATGGTGGAGTCTTGGATGAGTTGATCAATGAAAAACTGGAGAAATTCAGTACTCGATGGGAAGAGCTGCAACAGGAGGTACGTATAATATATCATCCCATTTTTTCATTTTTTACCTTAAATAACTGGCACTTTAGCAGTTGACCTAATTTCCAAAAAAATAAAATTAGCTCCTAATTGTATAGGATAATTGAAAACAATAAGATACAATATTACTATGCTTCCTTGTATTGTTACTATGCAGTGCACCAGATTGTTTTACTTTAGAAACAAGGGAATTGCTTGGGTAGCCCGTACACTTCAAAATTCAGGTGTCTTCCTTTGAAAAATATCTGTGGTGAATTTAATATTAAAAAGCCCTATTCAGCACTTCTTACTCAGGCAAAACTCCCACTGGGAAGCCAACTGTTGTTTCAAAATTAAATGTCAAGTGTAATATTCTTTCACAAGTATATTTTCTGCCGAGCATGTCATAAAATGAGCACCCATGTCAATAAATAGCTTTGTAGGAAAACTTCAATAAAGAAAATATGTTTAACATGAGGAGAGTGAAATTTGTGCATCTGACACAGTTCATAATGATTCTTTTTGATGTGGAAGTTGTTCAATTTGCTTTGACTGAGACTGAACACTTATTACTAATTCTTTGGCAAAACCTACTAAATTCTTTACGCTTTTTACTGAGAAATCTGTTCAGAACACTCTCTCTCTCTCTATCTATCTATACACACACACACACACACACAGTTTTAAAATCCTTTTAGTATAAAAAATAAAATAAAAATCATGCTCTGGTGTCGCCAGGAAATATTTTAAATACTATTTCAATTGACAAAATAAGTTTCATTTTTTAAACTAAGGTCTACATGGAACATGTAGTTCAGTTTGAAGGAAAAATATATTTATGAAAGTATGGGGTATGTTTGTAACGGTACCAGAGAAATAAGCAAGTGATTAAGAAAGGTTTTCTGAAATTAAGCAGTAAGGTGAAAATCTTGTGACAGCTGCTACTGTGGTTTCTTTTCATTGTCTGACATGAGTAGAAATGTAGGATAGCTAATTCTCATTTTGAAAAGTACCAGAGTTGAGTAAATGAAGACTACAAATATTTCAGGAATAGAAGAAGTGGCCTGACTTTATTATCCAATTGGACCATCACTATTATAATGGAGACTAGATTACACTGGTTACTTTGGTGTTCTGTGAAGGTAAAATCATGGGATTATCAAAAAATATTTTTCATTGCTCTTTATTGAGTGGATCAAACTTACATTAAAGTAAAGTAAATGCAAAACTTTGGTGGGGGAAAAAATCAATGAAAATAAGTTGGATGTGGTGTAATAAGTGTGAGAGACAGCAAGAGAAAAACATGGGAAACTAGACTGCCTTTGCCATGAAAGGAAAATGAATTTTAACTTGCCAGTCTACGGTATGGATCTGTGTTTTATTTGGGAGCTAGACTCTAAGGAGACTTGAGTGATAGTAATTTGGGAGGTCATATCAAATCACCGTACTTCAAGAAACTTGTAACATGAGGGGTTTGCACATGTAGCCACTTGTGAGCCAGTGTGCTGGTGCAACAGCACCCCCTTTGGTCAGACAGAGCATTGCACAAAGTTTACTTAATCTGGCAGGATGGCCAGCCAGCTCCTTTTGCCTGAGTCTCTATGGTAGTCCCATTCAGGGCTATGAAATGGGTTAGTCTTGCTGAGGTGTGTGGGCTCTTCCCCTTATTCCTGTGGGTTTCGGTACTTGCGGGATTTGGAAAACCCTTTCGTTTTTAAACCTGAGGGATTGATAGGGGAACCCAGACTCCCCACTCTATTGGGTTACAGATCAGGGCCTTTAAACCAGGCACGGGGAATCAGTCCTCGACAACTCCTCCTGGTGTACCCATAGCTCCTTCCTACCTACCTTGGTTTCTGTCGGCTTCTCCAGCCTTTAGATCGGGTCATGTCCTCTCTGCTTGCTGGCAGGAGTTTCCATTTCCAACCTGCTTGCTACTCTGGCAGCAGCCCCACCCCTCTGCTTCTCAGCTCTTTTATTCTCCCAGCTGCTGTAAGGCTGCCAGTAAGCCTTGGCTGACAGTTCCTGCATTAATCCCTTGGCTGCCTGGCCAGCCTGAGGTACATACACACCATGACATCACCGTTAATATTAATTGGGATTATGCAAGAGTATTTAGCAGGGTGGGGAATGAACCCCTGAATATCTCATTAGATTCTTTCTCACCTCCAAGTGAGAGCTCGAATTCTGATTTGTAATGCATTTGCTCCATTGCTATAAGAGTGTGGGAGAGTAAGGGAAACTTCATTTACTCTTCCTAGTTTTTAATGGAATAATCTGAAATAGAAAGTTATTTTGCAAACAAGAAAACAGGAGAAAACCTCTTCACTAATAAACTAATATATTCTCTAATTTTTATCTTCTACTGTATCGGATTGTATCATGGGTAGCCAAACAAACCTACTTACTGAGCTACAGAATCCACCTTTCAAGTCTCAAATCAACCTGTTGTACTGAGCACTTGAAATATTGCTCCTTGAGGGTTTTCTGACCTCTGTCATAACTGACCAGTAGAGGATGAATACTCATTTCCTTTCTCAGACTTTTCGTTTTGTTTAAATCCATTGATATTGGTGCTGATGTGCAGCAGTTCCTTCAAATATAGTTTGGTCTAGATTTGTGTTTCTTTTAGTTTCCAGTCAGTATAGGAATTTGATACTGTTAGTATGCTGATAGTTATGGTTAGTACAACTTTATGGTTCATAAAATGAGCAATCAGAATTCGGGGAATTCTAAACATAAAGGTTAAACTCTCCAACTTCACTCAGGTCCCTTATGCATATAACCATAACAATGGTCGGTTCTTATTTCATTATAGCTGGAGCACATTGTGACATGTATAATTAAAGTACTTTAAGGATATGTCTATAGTGTGTAACGTTAGCGCCCTCGTGACCAAGATGGCCTCTGCTCTGCAGGCAGTTCTGGCCAAGAGATGGCGCGTGCAGGAATGCAGCAAGAAAAATCCCTTCCATCCCAGGGGCACCTGTTCCAAACCCCCCAGAGAGAACACACCCACCCACAGGAAAAGTGCAATGGATATAAGAAAGGGAAATATTTATTTCCAGAGGGATGAGAGGAGAAAAACAACAAGGGGAAATATAGGGGGAACAGTAAAACAGGATTGCATCCAAACCAAGGCCCCACAGGCCCAGTGGCAGCACAGTGTGAAAGGGCAGACACCGAGCAATGTGTCTGCACACTGAGTTCAGGAGTCCTGAGCAAAGTTCCAGTCCAGTGCCCTCCAAAGTTCCAGTCCAGTGCCCTCCAAACCCCTCCGGTGCCCTCTTCTGCCGCGCCCTGCAAAGCCACACAGAGCAACCACCTCCCCACTTAACTATCTAGCAGCCTCCCTCTTTATTCCCAATGCAGAGAGACAAGCCCCAGTACTCACAGCCCCATATAGCTCTGGGCAGCAGTAATACTGGGTCCAGCTCCAGCCTGTCCTTCTCCGGCGATTCCTCACTGGCACAGTGCTCCTCCTGGCTCCTGTCCTGGGGTGTCCCCGATCGGTTTCCTGTCCTTCCCAGACTTCAGGCAGGTTCTCTGCTGCTTCACTCTGTGAGGGCCTGCGGGCTGCAGCCCTTCTCTCTCGCTGGAGCTCCAGATCCACAACCTGCAGTTTCCCTCCTTTCTCTCACTGCTCCCCTTCCCCCCTTAGGAAAAAGATTTAAAGGGGCCATGCTCTCTAAACTCCAAAGGGGTTACAAGTGCAATAAAACACCCGCAGCTGGCCTCTGTCAGCTGACATGGGGCTTGGGCTGTGGGCTATAAAATTGCAGTGTAGACATTGGAGCCTGGAGTCTGGGCTCCAGCCCAAATGTGTACACTGTAATTTTACAGCTCCACAGCCTGAGCCCTGTGAGTTTGAGTCAGCTGACAGGGGCCAGCCGCAGATGTTATATTGCACTTACCCTAAATATTTGCATTCATATTGCATAGGTTGAATTGACTATAAAAGTTGAAAAAGTGGAAAATTAAGCCCTGGGTGTGAAAAAAAATAATTAAAGTATCATTAATGAAAGTTGCCAAGTTTTGTTCTGCTTCAACTATTGTACTTTTTTCAAATACAATTTTCATATTTGAAAATAATATGCATATAACCATAAATGTATGTGTATGGTCAACATAATCTGCTCTGAGCAGCGGCCATTGGTAGTTAATGGATCTTCACCAAACTTATCAAGGGGGAGATGAGTAGAGGAGTCCGAATAAGAAACTGTAGGGTAACTGCCTAGGTCTTTGCTTGGAGTTGCTGGGGAAATACGTGAATGGGGATTGGTGGTGCTGGAGCTACTGGGAGATGAATGGTTGCTGGGGCTTCCTAGGTAGCAGAGAACTTCTAGTGAGTAGATGGTGCTGGGGAAAGGAAAGGGATCACTGTGAGGGAAGGTGGGGAATAGAAGGTACTTTGGGGTGGCAAGTAGATGGTAGGTGTTGGGGCAGGAGGCTTCTGGGTAATAGATGGGTGTTGGGACTGCTGGGGGCAGAAAGCAGTTGAGTGGTAGAAGGTGCCTGACTTTGTGGGATACATAGGTCTGTTTGGTTAGCAGAGGCGGGGACTGGGGAATGTGTGTTGGGGTGTGCAACTGGCTGCAAGGAGGATGGGTAGGGTGGGAGCTAGGTCTGATGTTGGACTCAGATCCAGCAGAGTGAACAGAGAGATGAGACGACTGGCTGCCTGCTCATGAAGTGCAACTGTGCCCTGTATTAGCCAAAAAGTGGAACTACCTGCATATGTCATTTTCCTTCAGCTAAGTCAGATGGACAGGAATCCAGCTGAAATCTTGGAATGCGTTACAGGGCTGCCAAATGCATGGATATCATTTAAGATACATGACACTTGGCTTCCCTGATCATGGTTTACTGTTTAGTGTTCTCTTGTTCCATGTCTCCTGATGGCATAAGAAAAGACATTGGAAAAGAATTCTTGAAGGCAATTGTATATGAGTTATCACAGTGATACTTTTTGATTATTTTTTCCCCCATGATGCTTAGAAATGTATTCACAC